ATCACATCACATCACATCACATCACATCACATCACATCACATCACATTACATTACATTACATTACATTACATTACATTACATTACATTACATTACATTACATTACATTACATTACATTACATTTCATTACATGGCATTACACAGGGCGTCACATAACAGTGCGTGACATTACATGACATTGCATTGAAATGTCATTGATTGCATCACATTACATACCTACACAAACTACAGGTGTAAAACAACAAGCAAGTAGAGGTTTGTAGACTATGAGTTCAATAGGAAGTAGTATTGAAGGGGTTTCTTGATTGCTTGTTAGAGATGAATCAGCGGATTTCTTACGGGTTTGACTCGAAACGATTTTTTCTAGTCTAGGCTTGCTTTGCCTTTCGGGAGGTTACAGCTTACAGGCTTCAGGGTTTGCTTCTACCATGCAGTCGCATGGACGTTGGGCTATGGGTATGTATATGTCATACTTGTTATGTTATGTTTTGCCGTTACTGCTACCACTACCACCACTACCACCACTACCACCACTACTACTACTACTACTACTACTACTACTCCTGCTGCTGCTGCTACTACTACAACCACCGGCACAACTAGAGGCAATCAGCACAGCAAGCTCTGGCAAAGGGGGGGTACGTATCCGATATGGGAAGCATGGCGAGAAGGGGGCGGGGAGCCTCCCTATGAGCACGGCCAGCTGTATTAGGGGGAAACTAGTAATCGAAACTGTACAGAAGCCTATGTGACATCACTGCCGTCCCCCTAGACACATCCAAGCACGCATGGGATATGTCGGCATGGACAGGCGTCTGGGTGCGGGACACCACGCCGCCCAGAATGGTTTTCGTCAGAGCAGAAGGCATCTCCCAAGACACCTTGCAAGTGACGCTGCAGCTGGACGAGCCAGGCACGGTTTGGTGTCCCTGAGCTTGATTGAAGCAACATTGTCAAGTTTCTTTAGCTCAGGAGGCAAGATGTTGGCAGTCAACTCTAAGGTGCCGCCGTGCAGACGGAAGCGGATCCCGCCTATTGCATCCCTGGGTCATCTCCAAGTGGCAGCTTCTCAGCGGATCCAGGGCCCTGTGAATACGAGACCTTCGTAAAGGCTCGCCTGACTTTGGTCTTTCTGCACCGTGGCACAGTGCGTGATGTGTCCAAGCCGTATAGCACCGGCAGGGTGATTCAAATGTGAGTTTCCGAGAAGAAGTCCATGAGGTGGGGCTTGCCGTGTCCTCGTTACGGTCCCTTCACATCCTGAAATGCCCTGGCCCTACCAGGCCGGAGTCTCCATTCAGATCGAGATCAACAAAATCATCCGCACAGATTCAGGAGCCGATCCTCTCATGCCCGAGACGAACTATCACATATACTGCTTCGCTGAAGATGATTGGCCAGCGGATGCCATGGGTGCCACGATACGTTCACAGTCCTACACAGGCAGCACGGCATTACCGAACAAGGTTTCATTGGACGATGTCTTGAATTTCAGTGACAGTGCAGCTGGCGAGTTTGCTGCAGCAGCGCAACTAGTGCATGTCATCGAGTGCGTGAGAGAGAGCGAAACAGAGAGAGAGAGAGAGAGAGAGCGGGGGGGATGGTGCATGATAGTCTGTTGCCTTGCGTTCGGCTCGTGTGGGATTGGGATGCTGAGTCTTATCGCAGTGATCATGCTTGCCAGGCGCTGACTTGCTCTTTGTGCCACGCACTCTGGACGAAGCGGCTCCAAGCTTCACACTTCTTGAGATCCAGGCCATGGAGGTACTCATACTGCGAGAGGTTGCTACAGAGATCGTCCTTGCCAGGATCCGACAGCGCGGAATGATCAGATCCAAGTCGTTTTCGCTTTGAACGAGGCAGGTGATTGATTTCGACACTTTGCTCGAATTTGCCCCGAGAATTCCCAATTCAGGTGGGAACAGCCTATTGTCGACCGGTCCGTGCTGACAGTGCAGAGGTGCCGCAGCTGCTTGCTGCTTGCTGCTTGCTGCCCGCTGCGCTGCATTGCAGTGCGACGCCCTCTCGTAGCCAACAAACTTGCATCTCTCTCCCTCTTCCTCTCCCTTTCCCTCTCCCTCTCTCTCCCTCTCCATTTCTCTGTCTCTCCGTCTTTCTGTCTCTGTATCTCTATTTCGCTGTGTGTCTCGCTCTCTCTCTTTCTCTCTGCTTGTATGTACACATGCATGATCATGCATGTATGCACGTGTGCATGTGTCATGTATATATGAATCATATGAATGTACGCATGTGGGCATGGATGGATGGATGGATGGATGACGGAAGAATGGGTATACCAAAAGAAACATAATATACATGGGATGTTCATATTACATACACATTTATACACACACCCACGCGCGTACAGTTGTGTATATGCATATGGATACCTGGCTAGCTGGCTGTCTGTCTGTCTGTCTGTCTGTCTGCCTGTCTGTCTGTTTGCCTGCCTGTCTGTGTCTGTCTGTCTGTGCCTCTGTCTATCTGTCTGTCTGTCTGCGTCTGTCTGTCTGTGTCTGTATGTAAGTAGGTACAGTAGTAGGCAGGTAGGTAGGTAGGTAGGTAGGTAGGTAGGTAGGTAGGTAGGTACGTTAGGTACATAGGTAGGTGGGTACAGACGTAAGGAAGTACATGGGTAGGTAAGTAGGTAAGCAGGTAGGTAGGTCTGTGCGTTTGTCGGTCTGTAGGTCTGCAGGTCTGTAGGTACGTATGTCTGCATGCATGCTTGTATGTGGCAGGTACAGAGGTACGTATGTATCTATGTTGTGTATGTGCATGTACACATGCACATGCAGACATGCCTACATGTATAGACATTTACGCAGAATGACAGAAAGACGCATGTTCGTGTTTGTCCAGTGCGCTGCAGGCAGCTTTCCCACTGGGGATCAACCGCATCGTCTCTGCTGGCTGGTCCGCAACACATGACCCCTCAACATCCGCGAGCAGCAGCCTGTTGATCGCTGGAGTGCAGTCGTCGCCTGTGGAGGACAAACAGCACCCATAATGCTCACGAGCACCGCAGCTGAGCGATTGATGGGGAAGGGCTCCGTCATGTCAGGTGTAGGATGTGCAAAGGAAGAAGTACACACGATGCCGGAACTTACTAGTCACAACATTGTGCGTGAACGCTTCAAGCATCTTTCGAGAACGCTTCCTCAAAGTAGGAGTCGCCCGGTAATCTTTGTGCACATGCATTAGCTCATACAAGCTCTTGCCCAGGCTAGCCATCATGGTAGTGGCCGTGCCCCTGCCCCCCCAATCTCAGCGTACAGATGTTTGTTCTCACAGTATCTTCCAGAGTGCTACTAGTAGGTTCAGGTTGACATCCTAGGACTACTTGCCTGTGCTTCTTGAACTTGGCTTTACGCTGCTGTCAGGAGCTCGACGAAGCCAGGCAGTATGATGTATATTGCTGGGCTCAGGACGCTTGGTTTGCGCAGCTACGAGTTCCGACAGAGCTATGACGCCTCTGCTCTTGCTGCTCTCGCAGGATGAAGCGAAGAGCAATTTCGGATTTCCACGGCCACAGCTCATGTCGCAAGCATACGTGAGCAGCATTGAAAGCATTTAAAAGGTTCATGACATGTCCGAAAAGCTACCTGGAGCGCAAAGCCGGCAAGGCAACGATGTTGCCAACGTTACAGCACCCCAGGGAGGGAAAACTGCCAATGCGATTGCCCTGGCTGGCCCTTGTCATGATCTTGTGTTCGTGAGACGGGCTTGTGCTCACTCCATGCCAAGCTGCCAAGTGAGGTCTGGACGTTGGACTCCACTGCGCCAACGCTGCTTTTCATTGACTGGGATGCCGTAAAGGATGAGGAGACTCTGCAAGTCACCCTGCAATTGGATGAGTGACTCGCTAGAATTTGCGTCTTGTTTTGGCTTTGCTGTCTCCGTAGCAATCTCGTATACCCGTGTCGACGCGTTTATCGTGGTGACTGCACAAGGCCAGGGACCGTGTGGTGCCAGGCTGCAGAGGTTGTGGCAACCAACAGCAGTCATTGCGGTGATCTCGAGCCGCTCGCCAGCAATCGGAAGGCTTGCCTGTCTCATGCATCAGTCTGACAAAGAGGTTGCAGGACTCTGACCCCTTGGCCGACTGCTACTTTGAGCCCTGGCTGGAATTACATAGCTTTACTCATAGAGCGGGAGCATGATTCCACCGGTCATGCCACGATACTGCAGGAGGACTACATAAAGGGCAACTTCTCCCACGTCTTCAAGCAGGAAGACGGGAACCCAGACTGAGACCACTCCAGTAGCCCTGTAGCCTGCAAGGATACCCCCCGAGCTCTGCTGGAGATGCCGGTGTCATGATGTGTCTTCCTGGCCGCACTCAGGTCCACACGGCCTTCAAAGATGTGGAAGTGGAGGTGTGAAGAGAGACAGAGCGATATGTATATGCATATGTATTGATCTATCTATCTGTCTCTCTCTCTCTCTCCCTCCGTCTATCCGTCTATCTATCTATCCATCTATCCATCTATCCATCTAGCCATCTATCAATCTATCCATCCATCCATCTACCCATCTACCCATCTATCCATCTATCCATGTATCTATCTATCCATCTCTCCATCTATCCATCCATCCATCCATCTATCTATCTACCTAGCTAGCTATCTATCTGTCTATCTATCTATACGCATATGTATGCATGTCTGTAGGTGGACCGGTCGTGCTTCGTCTCAGTCTGTAGAACTGTAGATTCATGCAGAGCGCACTTCTGTGCAGGGAGGGCGAGGGCTGCTCGCTTTCCTTTGTCTGAGCGACAGAAGAAGATCTGCATGTACATGCAGTTGAAAAGCGGATTATCCATCCATCCGTCCGTCCGTCAGTCCGTCCATCCATTCATCCATCCACGCTTGCTTGCATGCACACATGCATACATTGCGTTGCATGCGTGCAAGTGCCTGCATGCATACACACATACCCCCGCCATCCATATATCACGTATATGCGTGCACCTCTTTTATGGTGCAGCGTCGTGAAATTTCGCGGGCTTGGGTTTGGGTTCCACCTGTGGGCAACGGTGATAGTTCTGGCGGCATCGCAACATGCTGGTGTGTTTTTGTTCGGACGGCCCCGCCTCCCTGTGTTATTGGGAGTCAATCTGCTCAAATGTGAGTTTGTTCAATCCTTCTTCTTCTGTGCAGTGGGTCGGGGTGGGTTTGGTTTGTTTGGTTCTCCCCTGCCCTCTTTGGTCTGGCTCCCCATTGGGTCTGGCTTCATGCACGCGAGCGACAAGTACCAAGATCCCGACCCTAAGCCACCCCACGTTCGTCATGTGACCCTCACTCAATCACCTATCTCAAGCTACCCGATCCCCTTTGCCCATGCAGTTGGCCAATTTGAACAGGTGAACCGCCTTCCTTCGCGAGATGGATTGAGTTCGATATCACTTTCTCGCAGATCAGGCTGCAGTAGTTACCGAACGCTTGAGGCTGCTGCTCTATAGTCTTGTCAGGGTACAAGCTCTTCTGTTTCGCGGAGGATGACTGGATCGAGCAGGCACTCTCAAACTTCGCTCTGACTGGCTCTGATGTCACCTGGCGCTGAGGCCACGGTTGGCTCCGTCAACTTCGCCGCCCCAAGCTCCCGAAACAAGGCGTCGCAGAGAGATAAAATGTAGCAAGTGGACTGACGCAGAGATTCAGCGCAGGTGACGTTCGCGTCTGTGACGGCCTTCAAAGACCTGGTTGGAACTGCGACAACGCTGCGCACCTCAAAAAGACGAATGTCTGCGGAGTCTCCTCCGCGGCAGATTTTTGTCACCGAGGTTGGACCTGACGCCGCCGAATTTGACTCTGCTCGACGTTGCCGCAACCGAGGACTCTGTGAGACACCCATTGGGCCATTAGGCATGCCATGGGTGCAGAGTGCAGAGCGCCGCGGACCCTGCAGGACAGAATCGTAGTTTCTGTGTCGATGGACGAGGCTGGCACGGTTTGGCCACACCCCGAGTCGGCTGTGGAGACTTGGAGATTTGCCCAGCGAAACATGACTGGCTTTCCTCGAGGTGCCGTGCCTACCGGAAGGGTGCTGCGATGCCGCTAGCAGCTTGACTCAATACTCCGGTCTTCGCATGTGCATCATCTTCAAGAAAACGCCGGACGCATACTCGAGGGAGTACAGGTACGGCAAGGAGAGGGGGACTCATGAGTCCCATAATCGCGCCAAAGCAATGCCATCGAAGTGGCTTTGTCTTCCCAAAGGTACCTAGGAACAACTTCCTTAGCGTGACAAGACGGCCCCTAAGTGAGCAGAAACACAGGCCATCACCTCAAAGAAAGTTTCTTATGACAACGAGCCCAAGGCAGCCAAGAAGGCAACAACAGGACGACACCTGCAAGGGATCACCCGTGATCCGAGTCATTAGCACTGCTGGTCTCGGCACGAGTCAGCGCACGAGTAAACGGCAGGATTTTTCGATCTGGTCGCAGCCAAATGATCAAAGACACCCGAGTCACCCCAACCAAGCCTCGCCTGCAAGTTGCACGAGGGTCTACGGCAAGGAGGAACGTTGTTCGGACAAGCCCAAGCAAGATGCTCCCAGCTGCCAACAGCAGCATGACAAAGTGGACAGGTTCTGTCTTCAGTGGGCTTACGTCTTCTGGCCCAGGAGTAAGCAGCACCACTTAACACCGTGAACGCATTGCGACTGGAAACGGCCAATCGACGGGCATGCATACATTGCTGCTCGTTGTACACAGCACCAGGACAAGCACAACTGTCAGTGCGACCACGCAAAGTCCAAGTACGAAACAAGCTACGCCGCCATGACTCGCCAAGCAGATGTGCCAACTTATCAGCACCACTGACAAAACCCATCAGGTTGACATCAAGACTGACGTTTGCAACATCGTTGTGCCAACTCCAACCGGCCGCAGAGGTCGACCAACCAAGGCGACTCATGGACTTGTAGACAACTTTGGCCCACATGCTATTGCGTTTAGGCAAAGCATCACCATTCTTAACACATCGCCAAAGAGCCATGACTTGATCAAATGCAGTGCGGAAGTCAAGCGAAGCATGATGACCAAGCAACACGCGGCGAAGAGAGGGATCAGCTTGACGCGCAGCCCGACATGACATGGCGACCTTCCAGTCAAAAGAACGGATCTCACGCAAAGTGGGCAGACGGCACATCCATCCAAAAGCAGCCTTCCTGACGCCACTAACACCAGCCACACGGACGCGCGTGGCGAAGGGAACAGGCAAGCAACGGACCCTCTTGAGGACCCAAGCAGCAGCATGCAACCGATCACTTTCAGCACCACGCGTTTTACGACCGACGGCCGGAACAAGCGTAATGCCCAANNNCCTTCAACACCAGCCGCCAGCAGTTGACGACGACCACGCACAGTGCGATGATGATATTGATCTTTGGTCTCATTCTCCTTGAGGCCAAGGGTCATGGACCACTCACGCCATTGACGGCCAATCAGAGCACACT